TAGACACATGGGTCTGGAGAGATGGCTCAGTGGTTAAGAGCACTGACTGCTTTTGCAGAGGACCCAGGTTCAATTCCCAGCACCCACATGGTGGCTATGAACCATCCTTAACTCCAGTTCCAGGGGAATCCGAAGCCTTCTTCTGACCTCCGCGGGCATTGCACGACACGGGTGCACTCACATACATACAGGCAATACACTCATACACGTAGAATAAAAATAATAAATATTTTAAAAAAAATACTCGACGTGTAGGGCCAGGTGCAGTGGAGAACGCCTGTCACAAAAGCACTTGGGAGGCTGAGGCACAAAATGTGTTTGAGGCCTGCTTGAGCTCAAAAAATAAAATTAGGCACCGTGGGCCTGTGGCCCCGCCACCTCCCTCGGGCAGGACAGTAGTCACCGTGCCCTGCAGATACTTGCTCACATGTTGCTGTGCACCTGGGCAGTCAGGAGACTCCATCAGTGCCCTCATGGGCCTAGCTTCTGGTCAGCACTTGGGGAGCTGTCTCTCGACTCTGATGGGTGCGGGTGCTCAGGGCCGTCGTGTCTACTTGTCCCCCTGCCAGTCTGTGTTCACCTTGGGTGCTGCGGCAGGGGGCCTCAGTGCCATGGTGCTCAGTGACCTCCTGGGCCGGAAGCTCAGCATCATGTTCTCAGCCGTCCCCTCGGCCGTCGGCTACGCGCTCATGGCTGGTGCCCAGGGCCTCTGGATGCTGCTGCTGGGGAGGATGCTGACTGGCTTTGCCGGAGGACTCACTGCTGCCTGCATCCCGGTAAGGTGGGATGTCCCTACTGCTGCTGGGCTGTGCTGGGCCACCGCTGATGGAGGCCCCCTTTAGGCCTTTGCTCGGTGAGAGCGTGTGGTCCCCTGGCACTGCCCAGGAAACCTCGACAGCTCCTGTCAGAGCAGCTGACATCAGTCCTCCCTAGAAACTTCCTACCCAGAGTGTTGACAGTCTGTTGCATTGCTCAACTGGAGAAAATCCTCATTGAGCAAGGGGTGTGAACCCTGCCCCCTGCCCTGCCCTGCCCTGCCCTCCCACCTGCCCTGCCCTGCCCTGCGCGGGAGCGTACTCCGCATCTCCAAAGCCCCGCAGAGGGGGCCGCCCTTTGCCTGCAACCCCTCTACTAGGTTTGGGGAGCGACCATAGAGCTGGGCAGAAGGGGAGCCCCAACATCTCCGCTTAAGCCCAACGCGCCCCTGGGCCTGCAGGCCCTGCCCTGCCCTGCCCTGCCCTCCCACCTGCCCTGCCCTGCCCTGCGCGGGAGCGTACTCCGCATCTCCAAAGCCCCGCAGAGGGGGCCGCCCTTTGCCTGCAACCCCTCTACTAGGTTTGGGGAGCGACCATAGAGCTGGGCAGAAGGGGAGCCCCAACATCTCCGCTTAAGCCCAACGCGCCCCTGGGCCTGCAGGCCTGGCTCTGCCCTTCGGTAGGCAGATTTTGAGCAGGACGAACTTCTTTCCTGCAGAGAGAGGAAGAGCCCTGCGAGGCCCACTCCTGGGGCTGAGTGTGTCCAGTCTGCGCAGAAAACCCCACCCCCCAGTTCTGCTTCAGAAATTAGGCCGGGGAAAGTCTGTGAAGGGTTGGCGGAAGCTACATTTTCAGCATCTAAAACGAGCTAATGAACGAATGAACAGACGCAACCACCTGCTCTCCTGTCTAAAGGGCAGTGCGTGCCCAACTTTATTTTACTCAAGAATTAGTTAAACCCTGGCCACGTTGTTTTGCACAAAGACCTGTGCAGGCCCCAGCAGACCAGACCAAACCAGAATGGCATCCTGCCGGTACCATGTATTCTAGCTGAGTTCTGTGTTAGTTTCCAGGAGATTTAGAACCTCCAGAGAGACTTCCCCTGCTTACCTGAGATGAAGTCCTCTGCGCTTTACCCTTTAAGGAAAGCCAATCCGCTTTCCTTCGCCCTTTCTGCCACACCCCAGACAGCATATTCCTGGTTGTCAGAAGAGTGTGGTGATGGTCAAAAGGAGCTGGGTAACTGATGCATCCCTCCCATTTCCTTCAAACCAGCCCCCACCAGCTTCCACCCCAAGACCCTCCTAATATTAACTTCAGGCTGTTGCTAATTAGCTACAAAGAAGGAAAACAGACTGCCTGCCCTCCGATTGTTCCCTGTAATTGTTAAAGTATAAACGGACACACAGACCTTCCAAGGTGTGTTGACAGTAACCGTCTCTTAAGTAGGTGAAAGTTACCCAGAAACTGCATCTGATGCTTAGCAAGGGGGCAAGTTTTCAGTCATCCTCTGACTTTTGATTCACCACTACGATGTCGAACTGCAGTCACATACTTTAAGTCACATAAACATTTTCTTTGATTATAAGATTATAGGGTTGCAAAATGAGCTGACCAAACATGGAATCTTGAAGAACTCTTGTGACTACGAGGATTTCTGGGAGCTGATTCAGGAAGAATCTCCTGGAACAGGAGTGAAAGAAAAGCTCCGAAAGATAAAATGGAAATGTTTGTATATTTCCTTTTTTTAAATGTGAATTTTTGTGAGTGCATTCACTTTAAAGTTTTTTTAAATATTTTTATTTTATGTGTATGAGTGTGTTGCCTGAACGTATGTGGAGTGCATTCACTTTTTACTAGTTGGTTCTGGGGGGTAATGACAGTCTGTCCTTACAGCTGAGTTGAACTCTCAAGACAGCTGTGGTCAAAGATTTAAGACCTGTATTGATTTTTAATCATTTAAAGAATTTTATTAGCAAAAAAAAAAAGGTTTTGCTAATAAAAGGAGCACTAAAAAAAACTGTGTTTATGCAAGTGATGTTTTCCTTTAGAGTTCTTAAGTCAACAGAGCCAGCCTCTGCTGGGAACTGGGTCCTGAGTGAGAAGCTATGCATTTTTTCCTCTGCATCTTGCCAGGGCTGGTTCTCTCACCAGAGTGAAAAAATTCATTTGGATAACTATTGACTGTTTACTTCTTGCTAAAAACTGTGCACGAATACATGTAATAAATTGTCAAGTGGAGACAAAACAGTGTTCCCAGAGAAGTATTTAAGCATCGAAAAATAACATTTATAGTGAGACTGCAAGAATTATATAAATTTACTTTTCCCAAGTTGTGCAGCCATCAGTAAAGTCACCCCACAGCCTTTACCAGATCAGAATCACCTACGTCATGGGAATATTGCTTTAGCTGGTTATTAAATCCTTACATTATATTAATACTGAGAGACAAGTCTCATCCACATAGCCCAGGCTATGTTGCGGAGGACACCCTTGAACTTCTACCATGCCTGGTTTTTGCAATGCTGGGGATTGAATCCAAGGCTTCATGCTTGCCAGTAATCTCTCCATCAGCGGAGCCACAGCCCCAGTTCTAAAATATTTAAAGAAGTTTGAGGGTCAGTGGAATTCACACCGTGGTGGCTGGGGCCTTTCAGAACACAGTCTTGTTCCTAGAGCTCTAAGTACCCTCAGAACTGGAAAGACACTGCTGTCTTCTCTGATATGGGGTTGCATGACAAAGGCCTCTTGGATCCATATGTGTTGCATGTGTGCTCTGGGCAGACGCGGACTAGGCTGGTGCAGAGCTGAGCCTCATAGGAATGTGTTCACCTTTTCTGCTCTGCAAAATGCTGAGGCAAAATATTTCAGAGAATGTTCTAATTTGCTTTCTGTTGCCGTTATAAACACCGTGATAAAAAGCCACTTGGGCTGGAGAGATGGCTCAGCAGTTAAGAACACTGGTTGTTTTTGAAGAAGACCTGGGTTCGAATCCCAGCACCCACACGGCAGCTAACAACTGTCCATAACTCCAGTCTCAGGGGATCCGACAGCCTCTTCTGATCTCTGCGGGCATTGCACGACACAGGTGCACTTACCTACATGCAGGCAATACACGCATACACATAAAATAATAAAAATAAAAAAATTTAAAAAGCCACTTAGGGAAGAGGAAAAGGCTTAATTTCATCTTACAGGCTATAGTCCAGAAAGCCAGCACAGGAACGCAAGACAGGACTACAAGTCACGGAAGAATGGTATTTACTGGCTTATTCCCAGGCTCAAATTCAGCTACCTCCTTTTTTTTTTTTTTTTTTTTTTAAAATTTTTTGAGACGGGGTCTCCCTAAGCCCCAGTTGGTCTTGAACTTGCTATGTAGACCAGGCTGGCCCCCAAACCTACTTTTTAAAGTATTTAGAAGGGGAAGGAAAACACAGTACTTATGAAATAAGAGAATAAATAATACATTTAATATTTATTATTTTAGCTTTTTGAGACAGATCTCTGTAGCCCAATCAAATGGACAACCAAATATGGGCTGGAGTGATGGCTTAGTGGGTAAAGTGTTGCATAAGCAGGAGGACCTGAGTTCCAATCCCTAGTGGAAACAAAAAGCCAGGTGTGTGAACTGGGAATGGTGGTTAGCACCTTTATCTCAGCAGAGACAGGCAGGCCTCCTTTAGTTAAAGGCCAGCTTGGTCTATACAATGAGCTCCAGGACAGCCAGAGTTACACAGTGAGATCCAGTTTTTGTTTGTTTGTTTGTTTGTTTTTGTTTTTTCAGGTTTTTTTGGGTCTTTTTAAAAAACAAACCAGGTGAGACAGAGCTTGTGTGTAACCCCAGTGCTTGGGGCAAGGGAGGAAACAGGTTGATCCTATGAGCTCAATGACCAACCAATCTAGCTGAAAAGCTGAGCTCTAGGTTCAGTGAGATGTCTCAAAGTCCACAGTAACCTCTGGTCTCCATGTGTGCACAGGAGATAGGTGAGCACAGCCGTATGTCTATATGCACACACCCGTGCACACACACAAAATACATCAAATGTAGGTTTCCTAGTAACACAAGATGAAAGGTTGTCCATCAGAGGAGATTTGGACATTCATCATTAGTAGAGTGACTGGTTTTTGAGAAGATAGAGTTCAAGTGACAATGTTGGGTGATGTGTGGAGGAAAGGGTCCTTTGCTCCCTGTCAGGGGGGTACAGTGCCCCTAGGTAGCAAGCTGGCTTCCCTTGCTGGCGAAGCTTGGAGGGGCCCTGTTGGTCCCAGCTTGGGGAAGGTGGAATGGTCACTTCTCCTGCAGGTTTATGCTTTTCACAGTGAGCTATCAGTCTGTGTGTCATCAGGACTGAACTCTGGGAGACTCACAGCCTGTGGGGCTTCGTGAAAGAACACAGAATTCTGGGTGGTCTTTTTAAAAAACAAACCAGGTGAGACAGAGCTTGTGTGTAACCCCAATGCTTGGGGCAAGGGAGGAAACAGGTTGATCCTATGAGCTCAATGACCAACCAATCTAGCTGAAAAGCTGAGCTCTAGGTTCAGTGAGATGTCTCAAAGTCCACAGTAACCTCTGGTCTCCATGTGTGCACAGGAGATAGGTGAGCACAGCCGTATGTCTATATGCACACACCCGTGCACACACACAAAATACATCAAATGTAGGTTTCCTAGTAACACAAGATGAAAGGTTGTCCATCAGAGGAGATTTGGACATTCATCATTAGTAGAGTGACTGGTTTTTGAGAAGATAGAGTTCAAGTGACAATGTTGGGTGATGTGTGGAGGAAAGGGTCCTTTGCTCCCTGTCAGGGGGGTACAGTGCCCCTAGGTAGCAAGCTGGCTTCCCTTGCTGGCGAAGCTTGGAGGGGCCCTGTTGGTCCCAGCTTGGGGAAGGTGGAATGGTCACTTCTCCTGCAGGTTTATGCTTTTCACAGTGAGCTATCAGTCTGTGTGTCATCAGGACTGAACTCTGGGAGACTCACAGCCTGTGGGGCTTCGTGAAAGAACACAGAATTCTGGGTAGAGTTTAAATTGTCTGTAGGAATTAGAGAATTGAACTTTCATCACCGTTGGTAACATCATTGTGTGAAGGCAGCGTACGCAACTTCCACGGTCAGTTTAGAAGTGTCTGCTGTCAAAGCTTTGCTCTTAGCCCTAGTTGCTTAAATTTTATAAAAGAGCAGCATGGGGCTGGGGAGGTAGCTCAGTCGATGAAGTATTTGTTGCACAAGGATGAAGACCTGAGTTCAGTCTCCAGCACCCATGTAAAAACCAGATAAGGCAGCTGGGCACGGCACCCCAATGTTGGGGCAGAGACAGGCCAGCCAGGCTAGCCAAATTGGCAAGCTACAGGCCAGTGAAAGACTGTCTAAAAAGTAAGGTGGGGAGCCACTGAGGCTGACACCTGTTGTCCTTCCTCCTCTGGCCTTCATATGCACACACACACACACACGCATGCACACACACACGCACACACGCACACACACACAGCATGAAGGTGGAAGGTATCTCTACATTTCTAACAGCAACTGGGGGCCTCAGTTGAACTTAGGGCCTCAAGCTTGCTAGGCAAGTGCTGTACCACTGAGCTACATCCCTAGCCCTTTATTTAAAAAGCATATTTTGAAGCAGGGTCTCATTCGGTGCCCAGGCTGGCTTTGAACATGCAGCTATCCTTCCTCAGCCTCTCAGGCACCTGGGATCACAGGAGTGTGCCACCATGCCCTGCTCTGTCACTTCAAACATATTTTATTATTGTTTATCTTTCTGAGACAGGGTCTCTCTGTAGTGGGGCTAACCTGGAACTCACTATATAGACCAGACTGGCCTTGAACTCATAGAAATCTGCCTGCCTTGGTGCTGGGATTAAAGGTGTGCACTACCATACCTCAAACTTTGATTTTCTTCCAGGCTTGCTCAGTACTGGGGTTACAGCTGTGCACAACTCACCCAGTTCTAGTAAGATTTATTTACTTATAAATAAAAATATCCACTAGCCCTTAAATGTAGTAATTATATTAATAAATGCTGAAATATAAAAAATCTTGCATAGGCGAAAGGTCTGCAAATTTCTAGTTTTATTCCAAAAGAGGCAATCTATGGCTTGAGCATTCAGCTGGACCTTAACCAAGAGGCAGCCCATCTCACAGCTGGACCTTAACCAAGAGGCAGCCCATCTCACAGCTGGACCTTAACCAAGAGGCAGCCCATCTCAGTGTGAATTCACTTTCCTGTGCAGCATAATGAACATTTATAAGGTCACAAATTGACTTCTTGAAAACCCTCCGATCTCTTTCCCTAGTGATGAGTCCCAGACCACAGCTTCCAAATGCTTCCAGGAGATCAGAAGCTGGGTCGCTGGTTGGTGCTGATCAAGACAGTAGTACACTACACCAGGAGACGCAGGTAAGATTTCCCCCAGGGTTGAAAAATGTGTTTTCTAATGCAATGCTTTTTCTTTCTATTGAAGTAAAGTTTTTCATGCTTACTATAATTCTTGCTTTTAAAAGTTATTAGTACCAAAATAGCCATTTAAGAATGTGATTGATATGACATGGACTTAAAAATTCTTACTACTCAGGGCTGGAGAGATGGCTCATTAGTTAAGAACACTGATTGCTCTTGCAGAGGACCCAGGTTTGGTTTCCAGCACATGGAACCCTCTTCTGGCCTCTTTGGGCATTACACACACAGGTGCAGACAAAACATACATAAAAATTAAAAATAAGTAATTAATTAAAATTTCTTATTACATGCAAGACAATAATTTTGCATCATCTACCTCATTTTATTTGGAAAGTGTAAAACAAAAAGACAATTGTGGTTCCTACCTTCCTGGAATGTCTTGGGGGAAGAACCATGTGGTAAGAATGTCTCAGGAAAAGCAGCAAAAGAACTGTGCAAGGCACTCCTGCCCCATCGTGACCAAACACGCAACAGAAACACCTTAGGGGAAGAAGTGTTTATTTTGGCTCAGAGCTCTGGAGGTTCTCAGACTCCCCGGTGAGGAAGGCCTGGTACAGATCATAGCCATGGGAGCATGGGGTGAGGTGTAACACATCATGGGAGAACAGGAAACTGACAGCAACCGGAGCCAACGAAACTCTCAAAGGTCTACCCTTGCTGACCTACTTCCACCAGCCAGGCCCCACTTCCTGAAGGCTCCACAGTGTCTCCAGACAGCACCACCCCTGGGGAATGAATGCCTAAAACGTGAGCCTATGGTGGTATTTCATCACCAGAGCATAACAGTGACCAACTGGAAGCACTTGTTTGGAGAAAAAGAAAATTCTTGTTGTTTTTATCTTATAAAATCACAGTGTAGGGCTGGGGAGATGGCTCTGTGGTTAAGGGCACTTGCTGCTGTTCCAGAGGACCCAGGTTCCTTTCCCAACATCCACACTGGGCAACTCACATCTTGTACTTCCAGCTCCAGAGGATCCGGCACCCTCTTCTGGCCTCCATGGGTACTGTGCTCTCATGGTGTTTGCACACACAGACATACACACCTGCATATAAATAAGAATAAAAAAATACCTTTTTGAGCCGGGCGTGGTGGTGCATGCCTTTAATCCCAGCGCTCGGGAGGCAGAGGCAGGCGGGTCTCTGTGAATTCAAGGCCAGCCTGGTCTATATAGTGAGTTCCAGGACAGCTGGGGCTACGGGGAGACCCTGTCTCAAAAAGACCCCCCCAAAACAAACAAACAAAAAACCTTTTTGTTTTAAAAAGTAGGGTTCTTATGGTCTCAGAGGGTGTGTTTGCAGCAAGCAGGGGGTCTGTTCTGTGGGGTGTGGGTTGTTCAGCTGAGCTGGGTTCAGCTGCTGTAAGATGCTTGGCTCTGCCTCTGCCTAGTGCTCAGCTCTACTACAGGATGTGGCGATCTGACCCACCACAAGCTTCCAGCCTGTCTTCCCCCAGCTGTTTCAAGTGTCTCCATTTTCTCCAAAGCTAAGTGATACCATGCTAAGGGACCTTTCCCTCCCGTCAGAGTTTGGACTGTGCCATGAATTTCTGGGCTGCAATGGACCAGTTGGGTTTCAGTTTTGCTTATTGAGTTTTAATTTGCATGCTTGTCTGTCAGAAGTGGTGATGGAGTAAGGAAATCTGGGTTTACAGTGCTCCCGCCTCCCCTTCTCCCTCCAAGCAGGCACAGTAGCAGGGCCTGCTTCAAGGTCATCATGAGGGGCCATTGTGAAAAGGCCTAAACTTGGTATGAACTAATCTAAAAATGAATAAAAACAAAACCAAGTAGTGCTAAAAAGATTTTATTCTTTTTACATATAGTTTTAAAAATATATTTTATTTATTATTTTATTTTATGTTTATGAGTATATTGCCAGCATGTGTGTAAGTGCACTTTGTCATGCAGTGCCCACAGAAATCAGAAGAGGGCATTGGATCCCCTGGAACTGGAGTTATAGATGGTTGTTAACTGCCATGTGGGTGCTAGGAATCAAACCTGGGTCTTCTGTAAGAGCAGCCAGTGCTTAACTGCTGAGTCATCTCTTCAGCCCCTATGGTTTTATCGCTTTTTTTTCTATATGCGATAGGGACTTGCTATGTAGCTATGTAGCCCCAGTTGGCCTCAAACTTGCGACCCTCTTTGCCTCTGCTTCCCAAATGCTGGGATTATAGGCATAGACCATAATACTTGGCTCAAACAGCTTTTTTCTTGATGGGTTCTGTTTTGAACTTCTCTGATGGAAAGCTGTTTTCAGCTGTTGCGGGAACCAGCATAGTTGAATGCATTCTCTCTCTGGTGCTCAGCCAGTGGGCAGTGCTAAGCCACACAGTCTTGAAGGCTGGGGAGGGCCGAGCGTCACACTTGGATGTGAAAAGCATGCCATTCCTAGTTTTCTAGATGAACTGTATTTTGAGGGCCAGTCTGTTGGATGACTGGATGTGGCTGAAAGTGGCTGAATTTTCTGGAGAGAAGACAGATGGTCCTAGGACTGTAGACTCAGAGATCCATCCAGCACTTTTAAATCAAAGTTAAGTCTTACATGAGGTCTAGGAAGGTCAGTCTTCTCTGATTATGTTAGAAACAGGGAACTTTTCAATCACCATCTTTATTACCTCTACAGAGATTACTCCTGGTTACCTCTCAGTGTTCAAAGACTCGAAAACAACTTACTTGTCTGTGTGTGTAGATATGCTTAGTCCTGTTAAGGGAGGGGAGTGATGTTGTTAGAAGGCTTACAAGATTTTTGTGGAGGTTTCAAAAGAAGGATGAAATGTACTCCTTGAGAAAGAAAGCCCATAGGGCCTGGGAAGCCACGTAAAGGGATCAGAAGTGATCCTGACCCTGCGTACAGCTTCAAGTATTGCTTGTTTATGAGGCAGCTTGCCTTATACCCTGTGGAAGAATTGTATCCTTCCTCCTCCTCACATTTATAGTTGAAACCTCAGTCCCTGATGGGGTTTGGATGTAGATGTGTGGGAGGTGATTAGGCTTAGGTGACATCATGAGTCGGAACCCCATGATGGAATGAATGTCCTTGTGAGAGGAGCCTTGGAGGAGCTGCTCCCGTATCATCACAGCACACAGTGGGAGTGGCTGTCCCCACCCCTTAGCCCTGCTGTTCTTGCTCCCTGGTCTTTAGCTTCTACCCTTTGAACTGTGAGGAAGTAAATTCCTGCTGTTTAAACCTCCCAACCTGTGGTATTCTGTGATGGCAGCCTGAGCTAGGACAATATTCCAATAAACAGGCTGCTCCCTCCATATTTATCCCTGGGTAGCTTCAGAGACCAGAAAGAGGGACCATGGGAAGGTCAGAGGAGTACAGTTCAAGTCAGTATGTGGGAGTTGTGTTTGCTGATGACTGATGGTGACTTTGACATTGTGGGTGTGTGTATAGCACTGAATACTCCCTGCCCCAGTATGTGGAGAGGAAGGGTCACTTAGGAGGAACGGAATGCCTCACCCAACTCAAAATGTGTGCTAACTTAGTTGTGGAGCAAAACTAGAAAAATACAAACGCTATGTACAAGAGGAATGACCCCCATCTCTATCAGGTGATTTCTGAACATGCGTGTGCACGTTATAGGCCCAGAGAGCCCTATAAGGCTGTAAGAGCTTGGTGAGCGTCCAACCTCGCAGCTTTATTTGTTGATGCTGCTGCTAGAGATTGAATCCAGGGCCTTCTCCATGCTAAGCAAGTCCTCTACTATGAGTTACCTCCCTAGTTCTTGTTTTTAATGAGTCAAGGCTCATTACACACATGACTTTAAATTTAATATGTAGCCACTGCTGCCCTCCATTTTTTAAGATATTCTTATTTTATGTGTATGAATGTTTTGCCTGCATGTATGTAAGTGTGCCACATGCGTGCCTGGTGCCTGTGGAGGCCAGAAGGAACCCCCAGAACTGGAGTTACAGGTGGTTGTAAGCTACCATGTGGGTGCTGAGAATTGAACCCAGGTCCTCTGGAAGAGCAGCCAGTGCTCTTAACTGTTGAGCATCTCTCCAGCCCTCTGGCCTCTGACTCTTGATCCTCCTGTATTAGCCTCCTGAGTTCCGGGATGACAGGCCTGTGTTATCATAGGTAGCTTCAACTTGACAGCTTTCTATGGGGTGTTAACATGATATGTAAAGAAGAAACATCCAAATATAAATTGGGGTTATTTAAAGGACTGTCTGTAATAATTAAAGGATTATGGGAAAGACTTTGGAAAATGAATTAACAATAAACTGTGTCCTGGTTGTGCTGTATGGGAACCTGGCCCTCATGCTAGGGCAGTGAAGTGTGGGCCTACTAAGTGATTGACAACACTAAGCATGCTGTATGACATGTCAAGCACAGTTTATAGATTATTGGTTAATATGAACATGCGGTCTGGGCAATGATGTGCCTGGAACTTTTAGCAGAGGAAAAGAAACACAGGAAAATGAGAACACACATGTACCGGTGAGCACAGGGCTGCTCTGCATCCAAACCCAGCCTGTCTCCAAAACCCATAGGCCTGCTTGGCTGTGTGCCATCTCCTGGATAGCAAAGGGCCAGGATTACCAGACGCATAGGACAGTGCACGTAGGAAACGCCTTGTGACCGTGACTGAATGTCCGCAGATGCTGATGTCAGATTTATGAATGAATAGAACACAGAGTGACTTTCAAGTCTGAAAGGGCTTCCCCGCCTTTGCTCTTTGCTGGACATGCTTGCAGACACCTTTCTGCTGAGGAAAGTCAGGTGAATTTGAAATTAGTTTCCCCTCAGGGGCTGATGCAGCTCGCACCCAACTGTGAGAAAGCCCCTGCCTTTAATCTGGCCCAGCCTGTGGGAGGCCGGGCTCCTGTTTGGTCTGCAGGAGAAGGCACACACATCTGGGCTCCACATGGTTACTTGAGGAGCTGCCTGAGGAGGGGATGGTTCACAGCAAGGTGAGAAAAAATAAAACTGAAATG